AAGGGCTCCTGAGGACTGCAGGGAGGAACTGAGTTGGTCTGGATGCAAAGGATCAGGAAGCTGAGAGGTCAGCCCTGGTGTCCAGGAAAGAGGCTAATGGGTTTTGCAGCCCAGGGAAACAGAGGTAGGTGAGGGTGGGACCAGGCCCAGAGGGCTCCTGGGGACTGTGAGAAGGAACTGGGTCAGTCTGGATGCTAAGGGTGTAAGCAGTGGTGGTTCCCCCGGTGTCTGGGGCGCCAAGACAAAGAATGGGACAACACCCAGGCTAGGAGGAGAAACGGGCAGGGGAGATGAGAGGGTGAATGAGGCTGGGGGAGTCAAGGCATGGAGAGTGATGGACTTACCCAAGAGAGAGGCCAGTGGGTCGTGCAGCCCCAGGGAAGCAGAAGCAGCCCAAGGCCTCTTTAATCTCAGTGCTAATTTCAGAATTTGACTATTTTTTAGAAGCTGCCAGCCCAATACAGTCTTCCTGGTTCCTGGTAAGCAGCCTACCTCCCATTATACCTCCTAAACATGATGATTTCCAGGCACAGTCTCAGACTTTCTGTTCAAATGTTTTTCTCTTTGGAATAGTCCAGTGATCTCTCTCTCTCTCTCTCTCTCTCTCTCTCTCTCTCACTCACTTGCTCGCTCTCACTCTCTCTCTCTTGCTCTCTCTCACTCTCTCTCTCCAGGAGTCTCACTATATAGCCCAGGCTGGACTTTAAATGTGAAGTCCTTTTGTCTCAGCCTCTGGAATGCTAAGATTATAGCATGTGCCACATCTCATCTAGTTCTCTTAATGGATCTCCATAACCCAGTAATGGTCTCATTCTCTTTCAATTCTTCTGCCATGCTGCAACCAGAACACATGTGCTAAAATGCTATTGTGGGAACTTTTCCTGAGGAACTAAAATTTATTCACCCAAGATATGGTACCAACCTAAGACCGAAGTAACAATTCCATCCAAGTTCAGCTGGGTGAGCCAATGAGCTTATTTAGATTACATATAGAAGCATGAACGACCCCCAAATACATATGTCACTGAAAAGTTCCACAGTGTGGATGTACTGGATAGCTTTAGTTGTCAGCTTGACACACCTGGGTAGAGGAAAGCTCAGCTTAAAATTTTCCTCAACTGGATTGGCCTGTGGCCATGTCTGTGGGACATTTTCTTGATTTTTGAGTGATGTGGGAGGCCTGGCCCATTGTGAACAGTGCTACCTTTGGTCCTGTGTTGTATAAGAAAGCAGGCTGAGCAGAGGCCAAAGCAGCAAGCCAGTAAGTCTTTCATGGCCTGTGCTGCAGCTCCTTTCTCCAGTTTCCTGCCTTCAGTGATAAACTGTACCCAGGAAACCTAAGCTAAAATAAACCCTTTTTTCCCCAAGTTGGTACTGGTCAGAGTACTTTGTCACAACAATTGAAAGTAACTAAAATAATGGATAACAACTTCTCTATAGCTGCATAGGTGGACTTTCTCTCCATCTCAGTTAACTTTCCACTTTCAATAAAACTAGCATGTCCTAGGAGCATGTACAATTGGGGTGGAATCACATACAGCTGGAATGGGGGCACCATAGGGAGTGGCTGCAATCTCAGGTAAGGGTCTAATTATCTCCTCATCTCTCTCCTTCTATTAGGAAATGTAAACAGGCAGGATCTTGTTGACAGTCTCTAATTGGTAATTATGGACACTCTAAGATGTTAATAGCTGTCATGATCAAGGACAGTTCTACGACAAATGAATAATACTTTTAGTAACTTCTTTGTCCTATAAAACAATGTCCTTTCTAACTGAGAAGCTTTATTTTCCTTCCTGTTCTTGACTCTGTCAGTCAAAGTATTTTACTGGGAAATATTTTGTCTTTCTTTTCTTCCTTCCTCTTCTTTCAGTCAGTTTTTCACAGGAACTATGTTCCTGAATCACAAGCCTGTTCTCTATGTAGTGCTTATTGCCCACAGCACAAAATGAAAGGTAAATTCCTTTTCCTCAAAGGTAAATTCAATTATATGTGTCTTAACATTACATTCTAACCCAGTAATTCCAGAGCACTGACCACTCTGGCTATCCTGCCATCCCATACCTACCTGTCATTTCATAAATGGAAAATTCTGCTTTTGTTCACATGTGCTCAACAATGCTGACGTGCCACTCCACCCACCCTTAAGCCGTGCTCAAATATAACCATTTCTGTAATGCCTTCTTGGAATATCTCCAAGTGAAGGTGACACTGTGTCCCCAAAACTCCTCATGTTTCCTCTCTCACAGCAGTTTTTATGTGCTACTGCAATTACTAGACCTTATCCTTTTGGTATTTTGAACTACTCCTCATTTACCCAGTTACTCCCTCCATTCAGCACATTGCGTGACACTTCCAGCAGTTGAAAACTTTATTGAAGATGATTATTGTTAGAACGTGGGCCTGTACCATTAGGCCAGATCCTACAGTCAGAATTAGGCAGTGTGTCCCTGCCACTCTTTGTGGAACCAGAAGCCTTGGCAGCTGTCATTTTACAGTACGTGGCACCTCCATGCTTATTGTCACATATGATATGCTGAACTAAATCATGTGATGTGAAGCTTCCTTCTACCCCAAAAGGTTATAAAAATCAGACCTTTCCTTTGTTCTCAGGATTTGTCTGATATTCTTCAGGGGGATTTGCTGAGGAAAGTGCTCTGAAGAGGATTCTCTGGAGTCCCTGGCTCTATAATCCCTCTCATAGTCTCTCTTGATAGGTAAATGAAGGATGGATAGATAGATATAGATGACAGATATAGATAGATGATAGATGATAGACAGATAGATGATAGATAGACAGATAGATAGATAGATGATAGATATAGATAGATAGATGATAGATACATAGATGATAGATAGATAGATAGATGATAGATAGATAGATGATAGATACATAGATAAATAGATGATAGATAGATAGATAGATAGATAGATAGATAGATAGATAGATGATAGATGGGTAGATAGATGATAGATAGATAGATGATAGATAGATAGATGAGAGATATCTTAATGAAACTTCAGGTTTTAAAAGGAAGCACCTCACCGTCTTTAAAGTCCATCATGCTTTGATCTCCATATATTGTACTGTTTCTATATGATGCTCTCTCTCCCACCTCAAGGCCCAATCATGACCTTGAGGTCTTCTCATTCTAATAAACCTCATACCTAAAGAGAATCATGAATTATGTGTTGTCCTAGTTTGTTTCTCCATTGATGTAACAAAATACTCTGACCAATACCACTAACTTGGGGAGGAAAGGGTTTATTTTTTTTACGTCTCCCAGGGCGCTGTTCATCAGGGAGCCCAAGGTAGGGAACACAGGGCAGGAACCAGGAGGCAGGAGCTGGAGCACAGGCCATGGAGGAAAACTGCTTACTGACTTGCTCCCCTGGCCCCTGCTCAGCCTGCTTTCTTATGCAACACAGGCTCACCTGCCCAGGGGTGGCACCACCCACAGTGGGCCGGGCCCTCCCACATCACTCATCAAGAAGATGCCCCTCAGACATGGCCACAGGCCAGTCCTATGGAAGCAATTCCCCAGTTGCAGCTCTCTCAACCCAGGTGTGTCAAATTGACAGTAAAGCTATCCAGCACATGGGTACTGGGAACTTAACCTGGATCCTCTGTAAGAACAGCAATTGCTCTTAGCCACTGGGCTACTTCTTCAGCCCCCCCACCCCATTTTTTTGGTAAACCACTGAGTCCACTTGGTATTGCTTGGTGTAATGTTGACTGATTTGTTTGCTTGATCTTGTGCAGGTCTTATGTGAGTAGCCATAGCTGCAGTGAGTTCCTAAGTGCAATGGCCGTGTCATATCCAGAAGATAGCATTTCATAACACTCCTTCCTGTATCTTCTGGCTCTTACATTCTTTTCAGCACATCTTCCCAACACATCTACTGTGATGTTCCCAGAGCCTTGGGGCAAAGGGTGATATCATAATACATTTAGGGCTGAGCATTCAACAGTCACTTGGTCTCAGAACTTTAACCAGTTATTAATCTCTGCATTAACTGGTGCCTACTGCAGAAAGAAGCTTCTCTGACCAAGGTGACCACTATTATATTTAGCAATAAGAAGTAAATAAAGAAAGTATTAAAAATTAATCCTACAATTTGCCAGTTTTAGGCTAAGTGACCTGTCGCAAAGAAGCAAAGAGACCCCGTTTTCAAGGAAAAGTTATGTGCTTGAAAGAATGAGGGTTACTCTAGTATGTGAAGCTGAGTGCTTGAATACTTTAGTCTGATAGCTCTGGAAGGACAGTTGTGCAAAGCAGGGGAAACCTTAGCGGTCTGTGGTTCAATTTGTTTACATCATAACTTAGACCTAAAGGCCACCTGAATTCAGGAAAAGATGTCCATCCACCACAGGGACCTATGGCCACTTAGATTCCAAAGATGGGCACAGTTAGTATAAGCATAGAAGACCAGATCTGTGTATTGGGCCTCCCGCTCAGCACTTGGAAAGCTGGTTGAAGGCAGGAAAGCCAGTCCTGTAGGCAGACATAGATGGCCTGTGGGTTGAGCCTTCAAAGCTATTGTTGCTTTTATTATGGGCCCTGACTCCCGTGTTCTCTAAGCAGATCCTTCTAAAGTAAGGTAATTCAAATTCACTTACTTCACCTACAAACCACCTTTGGAGGCTAACTAATGGTCTGGGATTCTAATGAAGCAGGGCCACATTGGGGTAGCTACTTTTCCTTATGAAAGCTGTTTCCCCTATTTATACAGTGGAGAGGATGAAGAAGAGATGAGTGGAGCTGGCTCTTAGCACGTCATGACAATGACTCTCTCTCTCTCTCTCTCTCTCTCTCTCTCTCTCTCTCTCTCTCTCTCTCTCTCTCTCTCGTGTGTGTGTGTGTGGGGGTTCATTATCTTTTGCCATTCTCAGCCATCTCCCTTCCTCTAGACATGCTGAACTCAGCAGATTTGGTTCTATTGGTTCTGTCTCCTAGGGTTTCTGGTCATCTGATAAAGCTTTTGACACAAGCAGGAGCTGCCTTTCTCCTCTTAGCTTTCAAACTGAACAGTGCTGCCCAAGGCTCAGTCCAGGCTGTTTCCGTGTCTTCGGCTGCCTGGGTTATGGCTCTGTTGTTCAACTTGATCCTTGGTGAGTATCTCTGCTCCTGATTTTAGACTTCAGGACTTTCTGGAACCTTAATTAGAAGCATATTCTCCTATTCAGATTCAGATATCTTCCAAGAATGGCTTTTTATAACTAGCAACTATTCTAGACCATAGAAAGGCCCTTAATTCATATCTACTTTCTCATATGCTTTTTAATATTTTACTTATTATTTGCATGTGTATGAGTGTATTGCCTGCAAGTATGTAAGTGCACCCATGTCATGCAATGCCCACGGAGGTCAGGAGAAGATTTTAGGTTCCCTGGAACTGGAGTTAGATGGTTGTTAACTGCCATGTGGGTGCTAGGAACCAAACCCAGGTTCTTTACAAGAGCAGTCAGTGTTCTTAACCTCTAAGCCATCTCCCCAGCCTCCTAGATCATATGCTTTGATTGCTATATTTTCTGTCTTTCCTTATCTTTACAGAAATTTTACATATATTTCTTTTGCATCTGTTTCCCTAAATGCACTACCAATAAGAAGGCAATAAATGCTGGGTAGCAGTAGCCAAAGTAAGAGAAGGAATTATAGCCATAAGAGGTTTGTTAAAGAAGTCCACACTCACCCCTTGAGCATGTTTTCTTTTGTAATAAAAGTCCACTCAATTCCTTTGTCTCATTTTAAAAGAAACCAAAAAAAAGATGTCTTTCATCTGTCATTTAGTCTGGTTTCCTCTAAAGAGTATTTTATAGCCTATGTTAGCCTAAATATTACCTTAGATAACCTGGAATTTGGGGAGGCAAAGAAAACTGCATTTTAGTCATAGCTCTTTAATGTCTTATTCGAATTTACAGGTTACCATACTTCTCTGAAATTTTGTTCTCTAACCTATAAAGTAAAGACAATGCTATGTACCCCAGAGCCTCAGTCCATCTGAGAGCAGCCTCATTCTGAAGATTAAGGTTATGAGATTTATGAGAAATTATCTAGAAACAAAGAAATATTTCAGTGTTAAGTACTGATATATTTGGAGCAGTTTGAAAACTCTAGGCTAGAGATGTAAAGATATTGGCTCTTTCAAAAAAAAATCTTATAAGGTATGGGTGGTAGGCAAGTTATATAATTGAAAACGCTTAGTTTTAGGGACTACTGAGACTTCACAGGTCTAGGAGGGTGACTAAAGGACAGAGGAGTCCAAGCATATACAGATCTTGTAGGGAAAAGTCTAGTGTTCCAAAGATATTCTGATAAATCTGGAAGTTTGGAACTAAAGAGCTGCTTCTGATCTACTGATTTAAATTGTTAATGAACTACAACTTTACAAGCTATAGATGTCTTTTACATTTTCAAATGGTGAGGGGGGAATTAAAAGGAAATATTTCATGATACATGAAAATTACCTGAAGTTTAATTTTTTTAAATATTTTATTTATTAGTTTTATTTTATGTGTATGAGTGTTATGCCTGCATGTAAGTGTACCCGTGTTGCGCAATGCCCACAGGGGACAGAAGAGGCTGTCAGATCCCCTGAAAGTGGAGTTACAAACAGTTGTTAGTTGCCATGTAAGTGCTAGGATTCAAATCTGGGTCTTCTGCAAGAACAGTCAGTGTTCTTAACCACTGAGCAATCTCTCCAGCCATAAAAATTACCTGAAATTTAAAATGATGTCTATAAACAAAGGTTTGTAGGAACCCAGCCATGCTTATATATACATATATACACATATAACACATATACAGGACTGTTCTCACGCTGGAGGGGCAGAGCTAAGAAGTTGCAACTAAGCATGTGTTTGATTGAGTCTAAAATCTTTACTTTTGACCCTATATAGAAGGAGTTTGCTGAGTCTCATCTAAGTGCAATGACAGTGCAGATCATGCCACTATCCTCTATCCTCTGCTCTGTCTGTGGTGTCATTGCCTTTACCACCAGGGACTTCTCAGTGACCTCCAGTGTTTTTTTTCTCCTGTGGAACCAAAAGGTTGCACCAGCACACTCCCACTTTAGGCAGCTACAGTCAATCAATCAAATTGACTAGAGTAGAAACCACTTGGAGCAGTGCCTGGGGTACAGCCACTGACACATGCATAGGAACAACAAGGTCAATTAGTTGTTAGGATTGGTCTCCATGATTCTTCATCAACATCTGGTGGCCTTTGAAGCTCAGGCAGTCACACAGATCTGGCCTTGGAACTGTATATCTTCTATTCTTCCTCAAAAACTTACCAAGACCTTCTAGACAATTGCACTACCTTAACAAAGACTTGGAAATGTATTCCATGACCTCACGCTCCTTTCTTTTTCTTTCCTCAGCCATTTTCATTAGACCTGGCCTCTCAGGTAAGATTTTTTTTTTTTTAATTCTCAAAATGGAGGCCTCCAGGCTTTGGAGGAAAATCTGAGGTCTCTTGGGCTATTCAGAGGGACTGTGGTTCAAAATAGGGCCAGTAATCTTTCTTTCTAGTGCGTCCTCCATCCCATCAGTCTTATGTGGATGTATTTCCACCAGCAGAACTAAATGGGCTTAGGATGCTCTTTCATGATAAGGGTCCTCTATGGCTCCAGAAGTTCAGCTAGTTTCCAAACAGAATATGGCCTCACTTCAGGCCCCCTTGTGGCCCTGTACAGGAAATAAGCTTCCTTTGTTGCCCCTCTGGGTTCCCAGAATCAGATTTTCTTCCAGCCTTACTGGCACCTTTGAATTAGAAATGCACCTGCATGTAGCTTGACCAACAATGGGTACTATGGGTAGACGAGAGAGGAAAAGAGAGAGAGAGAGAGAGAGAGAGAGAGAGAGAGAGAGAGAGAGACTTGAGGGTAGTTGAAAGTTAATAGTTTCTTTTACACTATCCGTCTGTTCTCTCTTGCTTGGTGGTACAGGCTTTACCACAGACAACTAGGTAGAAGCTCTACCATTAGAGTGGGATGGTAACCATGTAGATGCACCTTGATTTCTTAGAGTGCTGCTTCTGAGTTCTTACCCAGATACTCAGACTACTCCAGTCTTTTTTCTCAGCCTCCAGGATTGTTACCAGTTCAAAACAATGGCAGCCCTCCTGGATGAGGATGCCGCTCCTCTTTCCCTTAAGGTTTCTGCTAATAAGGTAGGGTAAAGACACTGAATCAAATACAGCTGCCTCCCTGTGTCCCTCCGCCTTTCTCCCACTCTGATTTCTTCAAGATGAATTTCCTCTACTTAGTTCTCTTAAGCTGAATTATTTTAGTTACTCCTTGTTTCATTTTTAACTTATGTCTTTTTTTCTGAGAACTGCTCTAGTCATCTCCATCAAAATAAAAATTAATTAAAAACAAAAGTGTTACTAACCAAAATGAAATAAAACAGCCTGTGTATGATCCTGATAGGAACTTTTTCCTGAATTGCACAACAATGTCAATCCAAACTTTAATCTTTATCCAATGTTCCAAGAATTATTTTCATATGACCTGTATCTGTACTCATATGTGTAAGTTTTAAAATCAAATGCACAAAATGGAAATTCTGTTTTTCAAAACTAGAACATCTTTTATTTACTGAGAAGTTTATACATGTAAACAATGTATCTTGAATGATACCCACCTCAGCTCCCCTCTGAAGCATCCTCACTCTGTCTTCCTCCCCACTTCATACCTTCACTTCTTTTTAAGTAACCCACTGAGTTCAGTTAATGCTGCCTACTGGAATGTTGACTGATTTTGTTGACTTAATCTTGTTCGGGTCTTGTGCAGCACCCAAAACTGTAATGAGTTCATGGCCATGTGATGCAGTGGCCCTGCCACGTTCAGAAGACAAAATTTCACAGCACTCCTCTCCATCTCTGGCTTTTACATTCTTTCTACCCCCTCTCCTGTGATGTTCCCTGAGCCTTAGGGAATGGAGGTTGATATAGATGCCTCATTTAAGCCTGAGCGCTCAATAGTCACTTGTTCTCAGCACTGTGACAAGTCATAACTATCTGCATTAACTGCTGACCACTGCAGAGAGAAGTTTCTCTGGCCAAGGTAGAGGGTAGCAAACAATTAAGATCATAAAGAATTCCTGAATTCCTGCGTGTCTCCTGCTCTGACCCCAATTCCTCATACTCTCTATCAAAGGTGGAAGAGCCCTGCACTGACTGTAAATGCACCCTGAGCACACTTTTTCTTCCCCCAGGCCTAATATCTTATCTCTTTGCAGAGTCTCCACCCAGGGTGCGACTTGTGGGAGGTGCCCACCGCTGTGAAGGGCGGGTAGAAGTGGAGTACAATGGTCAGTGGGGTACCGTGTGTGATGATGGCTGGGACCTGAAAGATGTGGCCGTGGTATGCCAGGAGCTGGGTTGTGGAGCAGCCAAGATAACCCGCAGTGGTGCATTATATAAGCCACCAGCCTCAAACGAGCAGCCTGTCCTTATCCAAGGGGTTAACTGCAGTGGGATGGAAGACACATTGACTAAATGTAAAACAGATGAATATGTTTTGGAATGCTCCCATGAAGAAGATGCTGGGGCAGTGTGTGAGAGTAAGTATGGCAGGTTCAAAGATCATCTCCCAGCAGCCCATACCCATTGTCCACTTTTCTTAGTCGTTGTGACTGTCACACAATCACACTTTCTTATTTGTGAGACTTGAAGATAATATCCAAAATTGTTATTCAAGCCATTTCTTTCTTAGGTTTAAGCTATGTATGAGATTAAATTTCTCATATTTACATACATATATGCCAGATACACTAGCCACTGAACATTTGTTAAATGTCTATAAATGGAGCTGGGGATGGAGTTTTGGGAGAAGAAATGAACTCAGACAGTATAGTTCATGCTTTTTTGGAAGTTTCAGTTCCTAAAGAGTCTGCCATCCTGTCAGGGAAAGAGGAGATACTAACAGGAAACCAATAGGATCTCATTGATAGCTAGATGCCCCCCCCCACACACACACACATGTCCATTCCTTCACTGTCCTACATGTACTTCCTTTCTATAACTTATTAGTGTCCCCCCTTCTGTGTATACATTCCCTTTTAGACTATGATTTGGTGGAGAGACTTGCCTATGTTCCCCCCATTTTGTTTAGCAACAGAATTTTTTAGCAGGGAAACTATCATATTTTCCCCTGATGCTCAATCTTCATTCCTATTTTTTAGGAAGTCAAGGTTTGGGAACATTAGTCTGGGATACTTTATTCATGCCATTGTTGAATCAAAAAGGTTTTGACATTTAGTGTTAATATATTTATTTATCAATGTTTAAATTTATAGTGTTTCTGTCTCTTGAGAGAAGCAATAAGAAGTTGAATGTGAAAATAATTTGAAAACTAAAATGCTACTGAAATTATGATTTAACTGGGAACCGAGAAACTTTCAGTTCATCAATGCACGCGTCCATTCTTTCAGCCAGTATAGGAAGTGCTCACTACTCTAATAACTTTGTACCGAACACCAATAACTGAGCCACGTGAACATCAGACTCCCTTTTGTGAGAATATCATGTTCTTGTAGAGAATAAACACTTCCTCTTCCCTTTTTCCCAGACCCAGAGAACAGTTTCCCTCTAGTCCCAGAGAGTGTGCAGCTGGTAGATGGACCAGGACGCTGCCAGGGGCGACTGGAAATGATACACCGGGGTCAAAGGAGTACTGTGTGCAAAGCAGGCTGGAACCTCCGGGCTGCGAAGGTGGTGTGCAGGCAACTGGGATGTGGGAAGGCACTTCTGACCCAGAGACACTGCAACAAGATCACTCAGGGCAAAGCACCCATCTGGAAAAGCCAGATATTATGCTCTGGACAAGAAACAGACCTTCAGCATTGCCTTTTTAGGCCTTGGGAGAACAACTGTACCCATGATGAGGACACATGGATCGAATGTGAAGGTAATGGAAGATAACGCCGGTACATTCAGAGACTAGGTTTATTCATGAACATGGTTAAATTGAAACCCATTCAAGTAAGGGTTTTTTTTGTTTTTGGTTTTGGGGTTTCTTTTTTGTTTTGGGGGGGTTTTGGGGGGTTGTTTTTGTTTTTGTTTTTGTTTTTTGCCTTTTAGAAACAGCGTCTCCCTGTAGCCCCAGCTGGCCTGTAACTCACTATGTAGATCAGACTGGACTTGAACTCACAGAGAGTCACCTGCCTCTGCCTCCCAAGTGCTGGGACTACAGGCATGCACCACCATGCCTGGCTCAAACAACATTTACAAAGAACTATTCATGTATCAACTAATCACTGCAAATTTATTTAGTTGTATGCTAATACCAATTCTCTGTATAAGAAATTTCTTTAAAAAGCTGTGTATTGTACTATTACACCATAGACTATGGTACAGAATGCTATATAATAGGGCATACCACACTGCATATTTTTGAATTCTTACATTTTTAATTACTAGAAAGCCATTTAAATATTTGATTTTATAAGGAAATACTATATTTATAAAGCAGATGAAGTAAAAATATTCTCGTTAAAGAAACAGACCTGGCCACAAGGGTTGGAAACTGATGGAGACCTAGGGAAGAAGCTGCTATTGCCAAAACCATGTGGAGACTTTCGAATGTGCGGATGGTGTTTGGGGACCACGTAGATAATAGTTTTCTCTTTTCCCTTCGTCCCTCCTATCACCCTCTTCTTTCTTCACATGCAGATGCCTTTGAGTTGAGGCTGGTAGGAGGAGACAGCCTCTGCTCTGGGAGACTGGAGGTGCTACACAAGGGTGTGTGGGGGTCTGTCTGTGATGATGGCTGGGGAGAAGAGGAGGACCAAGTGGTATGCAATCAGCTGGGCTGTGGGGAGTCCATCTTGCCATCCTCCAAAGCCCGCAAAAGCTATGGCCTTGGGGCAGGACGCATTTGGCTGGATGACGTTGTTTGCTCAGGGGAGGAGCCATCCTTGGAGTTCTGCCTGCACAGGTTGTGGGGGTATCATGACTGCACCCACAAGGAAGATGTGGCAGTGATCTGCTCGGTAAGTCCCATCCCTTTGCAAGGTTGGCACTTCTGAGAATGATGGAGGAAGTGTAGGAAGGCACTCTGGTGGTCAAGGTGGAGCCACTAAGGCCACAGAGTTGCTATAGTCATTGCCTGCTCTATGAAAGTCTCCAAGGATGGGACTGGGGTTCTAGCAATTGTTTGTTTAGAAGGGGATTGGTGAGGGGTAAGAAGAAAAAAATTTTAATACAGTTATTGAACATGAGAATAGAAGAGGCTTTCCAAGTTATTTGATCAATGTACTTATGTTAATCATGAAAAAGATGAGTCAGAAAATTTTGCCAAACCATAAAAATTTGCTTTTTTTTTAAGTTTTTAGAATATTTTTAGAATTTTAAAGAAAAAAGAAATCCTCAGGGCAGGCAAGCTGGTAACCTTGGCCTTGAGAAAGTGAATGGGAAGGAAGGAAGGAAGGAAGGAAGGAAGGAAGGAAGGAAGGAAGGAAGGAAGGAAGGCAGGCAGACGTGAGGCCATGCTGGTTTAGAGCCTGCCTGGGAAGTCACACACATAGCTGACTGGCAGCCATGTGGCTAGGAGAAGGAAGTTTTAGAGAAAGTAAAAAAATGAAAGATGCTTGGGGCAGCCCAAAGCCTTAAAGAAAGCATGTTTAGGAAGAAAGGCATGAAGAAGGAAAAGGGAAATTATGCTTCCCTGAACAATTCAGGAAAGGGGGCAACTCACAGACTACAAGGCTGTATCTTGGAAGTTCTGGCCCCGTAGGCAGGATTACAAGCAGGAAAAAGTCGCTATCTCATCAACACACTAGGTATTCTGCCCATCTATTTAGCATAACCTGTCTTCCTAGGGGCAGTCCTATGACCAGATGATTGACCAGTTAAACTTACATAAAATGGAGGTGCTCGGGGTATTACATTTCCCACTGGCACTGGGATATAAGTCAAATCTTTGACTTGTTTTGATTTTAAGGCTTATATTAGGTCCTTAATTTTGATGGCATTTGGGCACCTTTTGATCTATCCAGTTAGGCAATTTAGGAGACATGGACCCACCGTAAAGGCTAGGAGGAATATTACCAGAAGCCCAGGAAAACTCAATTATACCTGAATTATTGGCGTAAAAACAGCAAAACTTACCTAAGGCCATGTATGATCCATCTTCCTTTAGGAACAGATCTATCCCCCTTTTGTTCTGTCGTACCATGTTAGCTAGGGCGTTAACCTGACTCTGCAACTGCCAATGGAGTCCTGTAGATGTCCAAAAGACATCTTTGTCTACCTGAGAGTTTAGAAACCTAAAATTTTTATTACCCATGGCTAGGGTGGCAGCACCCATGCATCGGACCCTGCAACGCCTCTTTTCACAAGGACGGGAGCAGGACTTCCCTTGGCCCTTAAGAGACTTGGGTTAAGGTGAAGTGTTTCTGCCCTTTTTCTCTGCTATAGAGATAAACCTGGGGGAGAACACGGACTAGGGTGCTCATGTCTCCATGGTGAGCGTCCCATTTTAGCTGTTCTGTAGCCACGTACTTAGTAAGACCAAAGGCACATGCCCATCAGGTGCTTTCAGGGGTGTGAAAGATTAAACCCAGGTTTCCTGAGAACTTACGGGGCTATACCCCTGCCCCCCGTCTGAAAGTTACCTCTTCGGGGCCGGCGGGGGGGGGGATATTAGAAAAATTTGCTCTTAGTGCGTATAATAGAACTAAATGATTAATCCTTGCTTTCAATCCCAGTTTAGCTCTCTGAGGCAACTCCAACCTTTAGGCTAAGTTTGAACTATCTGTAGAAAATGACCTACTCACCCTGTTTGTTGTTGGTCCCTAAAACTTATTTTCAATCTGTGAGGGCAAGTGGAGGTCTAGCAATGAGCTCTTCTGAGAATGTCTATGATTGTGTGACGATAAAATATGAATACAGTCAGCCCTTGTTTTCTCTGTATTCTGCATCCATGCATGTAAAGTATTTGAAAAAAAGTTACACTCTACTGAACATCAACAGACTTTTTCTTATCATTATTCTTTTAATAACAGAACAGAACAACTACTTACATGGCATTTGCATTGGACTAGGTGTTATAAGTATTCTACAGATAATTCAAAGTATGTAGGAGGGTGAGCTTAGGTCATATGAACATTTTTGTCACAACTTCATAGGAGTCATTTGCACCTGTGGATTTCGGCATCCTTTAGGTTGTTGGCATTAATTTTCTGTGGATGCAGAATGCCTATACTATTCATGACTCCCCCAGGAGCCTTCTGAATATGCCTTTGGGCATGACACCAAATTTTGGCCTGGCTTCTGTCAGTGTGAGATTTGTATGTCATTAGCTCTTTCATATTCTGGGCATTGGTCTGCTTCCTTGGACAGTTTAGCTTGAAAAGAATGAGTGCTTGCAAACCTATTCTTGCCCTTATTGCATTTTCCTTTTCTCTTTACAGAATAGTGTCTTGGACTCCGATACTTAACCTGGATACCTGCTTGCTCTCCAGGGCCTGCTGATCCTTCTAACAATCTAAGTCCTGGTTGTGGACTTTAGCCACCTCCCCCTCTGGCTCTCTGGAGTTTGAATTTGTGCCTTCACCTTGATCTCAGGGCTACACACCCCCATCATCACCTTAAGATACGAGCTGCTGAGCTCCCTTGCTGGGAAGAGCTTCCAGTTACCCTATGCTCACTGCTGACCCCTTGGTATTGGTTCTGGCCTTTCCTGCCTCTTCCCAGTCCACCTTCAACTCTCTGGTCTGTCACTATGATGGATGTGCAGGCCATGACTAAGGCATAGTCTGTTTGTAAACAAAATAGAGGATGAAACAACAAAAGGAGCATCTGGAAGGGAATAATGCACAGGCAATTTTTTGGAAGTAGGGGAGAAAATATTTTTTTAACTCTTCTCACATTTCATGACAAATGAAGTGATCAGAACAATAGCACCTCATTCTCTGCTATTTCTCGGAGAAAGCAGCATACTCTTTCAGTAGCAGAGTGGTGCCCTGTAGTCCTTGACTATTATAGTTTGAGTTTTAGATGTCTACCAAAAATACCATTTTGTTTGAAGCTTTGTCTCTAATACATCAGAGTTCATAGGTGGGGCCTTTAGAATCTGACTGGTTCATGAGGTATGAGCCCTCAGCCTTTATGAATAGATTAATTATTGACAAATACATAACTTAATGAGCTATTGGGACGTGGTGGAAACCTGAGGCGATGGGGTCTAATTGAAGGAAGCAGGTAGTTTCAGGCATACCTTTAAAGGGAATATTTTGTCCCCAGCCACTCTCTCTCACCCTCCCTCTGTCTTGGCTTCTTTAAAACTATGAGCTGGAGTAACGATTCCTTCCTGTAGATTAGTTTCCTTGGGTCATAACAGCAGAAAGCTAGCTAACTGGTAAACCTTTTATGATACTTAGGAAAATGTGCTTTATTTTCTGACTATTCCAATAAAATACCTTTGTTTTCATCCCTGTATAACTGACTAACAAGACTGGAACTTAACAAAAAGGATCTTGGGCTGAAGAGAAGGCTCAGTGGCTAAAAGCACTGGCTGCTCTTGCAGAGGACCAACCCAGGTTTGGTTCCCAGCACCTATTGGTGGCTAACAACCATCTGTAACTCCAATTCTAGGAGATCTAACATGACCATTTCTGACCTCCATGGGCATTGCATGACACGGGTGACCTTACATACATTCAGGCAATACATTCATTACACATAAAATAAATAAAATAATAAACTATTTTAAACAAAAGTGATTCTCACAAATGCATTTTACTTTCTCAAAGAAAACCATTTTGGTTACTGGGAAAAAGTCAGAGAGGCAAAAAAGTTGGAAAGAGCTTTGATTGTATCTTTCTCCAATCAGAAAGCATCATTTTCATTTTATCAACAGAGACTTTGGGACCCATAATATTTTTAAGATAAGGTTTTCCTCTGTAGTCAAGCCTGGTCTCAAACTCACTATGTAGCTCAAGCTGGTCTGGAACTCACAATCTCCCTGCCTCAACTTCTTGAGTGCTGGATTACAGATATACTCCTTCATGTCCTACTTGGGAAACTGTAAATCTGAGACAAGACAGAATGATACTAAGTATGTAATCGGGATTTATTTATAAAAATCAACAACTATAGACTCTGTGGCTAAGATAATGCTTATACTGTGACTGACTTATTGTGGCTTGATAAATCAGATATCACAGTTCAACAGTTGCCCATCTGTGTGATGTGCTCTTTCTGTCCCCAGGAAAGCAGGTGCATCAGTCTCTACAGGATTACATAGAAGATAGCATGCTGGCTATACTTCATATATGTGTGTTATAGATCCTTTCTGGATTGGAAACGTCTTCCTGCTTCTATCTCCAGTATGTGAAAGAGAAGTTAATTCTTCTATTCCTTAAATTACTTTTGACAAAGACATAGTAACCAAATTTACTAGTAGGATTCAGTGTGATACCCCCTCCACTCTCCTACCTTTTCCTACTTCCGCCGATTGCTATTCTATATTTAAGCTGCCTTTTCAGCTTCACGTATGAGAACCTAAGGTAGGTGTCTTTCTGTGTCTGTCTTATTTTCCTTAACATAATGCTCTCTATTTTTATCCATTTTGCTGCAAATCACAGGATTCCATTCTTCTTTACCTACCCCATGGTGGATGTGTGTGTGTGTGTGTGTGTGTGTGTGTGTGTGTGTGTGTTGAGTCTAGTTTCACCAGGCAAGTGGATTCCTTGCAAGTTATTCCAATATCTGGGAGAGGACATTTTTCACATATGGCAAAGACCAGAAAATCAAAAGAATCCCTTCCATAGAGATACACAGATAATCACAGAATAGATGCATAGTCATCAGCTCACACAAGGCGTGCCAATGCTCAGGGCAGAATTTTCAGTGCCTTGTCTCTTCTTGGGATCCAATGGCATTCTTGACTTTATGTAACAAGCTACAGTCATTGATAACAAATAGTTTTAAAAATGAGATATTCCATATTGGTTTTAGTACTTCCAACCAAAGGAATTCCTACCAATTTACTCATTTCAGATTAATGTTGTGATAATTCATCCATCTTTGCCAAGGCTGATTAGATGAGCCAGTTGTTAGCAATACTAAAACTGTTATTGCATTTATAAAATCAAGCTTATAGATCTGATAGCATGAGGGCCAGTGCCTATAACAGGGATATCATTCTGAGGTATTGATCATGAGCCCCATTGGTTTGATAGATAACGTATATGTTCTACAGAGAGCATAGATTATGGGCTCTGCAGTTAACAGCACTCGCTGCTCTTCCACAAGATGAGAGCTCAGTTCCAGCACTCATATTCAGTGGTTCATAACCACCTATATAACTCCAGTTCCAGGGCATCCAACACCCTCTTCTTGCCTTCATGGGCACATGCACACACATGGCATACACACACAGGCACCCATACACACACACATAAATAAAAAATATTTTATGAAACATAGATCAATTAAAGGAAAACCAGCAACTCTGACATCACAAATATTCGTACCATCTGCCTCTGCTGGAAAGAGTCTCTTTAACTTTGCTACTTGGTGAGATTTTAATCATTTTTCAATGGCTATAAAATGTAATTTAAATCAGGTTACATGCTTAAATCCTTTTGAAAGCTTCCTACAGTACATCAGTTAAATGAAAAATTTTTGCTTGACTCAAAAAGATATGCATGATCTGACCCTACCCGCCCTTCAATATCATCTTGTACAGACACTCCTTTTTGGAAGGCAGTGATCAATACTTATTTGATAACTGACTGTGTTTATAAACCCTTCTGAGTTCTTTATGTGAAATGCATCATTTAAATTTAGCAGCCTATTTTAGTTGACTTTTATTTTTATCTTCTTTTTATAGATAAAGAAGTTAAGTAACTTATTCTCATTGATAATATTACCAAATTGTGTTTCAGTATTCCCAACAGCACTGTGTAGTCAACACTTCAAAAATTAGGGACATATCATCGACAGCAGCTGAGCAATTTGCCACCCTGCCCGTTTGTTCAGGAGGAATCAATTTATTCCAATTCAAGATGTCAGTTTCAACACCTCATAGATCTTTACTTGTTCAACATTCTTGCAGTTTAGTCTCATCTCCATAATGTGTCTCTGTTTTATCTTCCAACCATTTTTTTCACAATTTGGGGGCAAGTTGTCAGTAACATTTTATTGTTATTGTCTTTTATAGTATATAAAATGTAAAAATATTTTATTTTTGGCAAAACTGATCAAACCTTTATTTTAACTGTAGCAAAATCTGATACGCAAAGAAAAATAGTCTATCATACCCATGATTAATATTAATATCCTCTTGTTTCCAGTTGGTATCATTGAAAACCTGGCAAATCATTTGGCTATTTTAAAAAACTCTCACAAAGACACACACACACACACACACCAAAGAACAGACAGAAGAAAAAAAAAACCTTAAGAAACAAGGCGATCTCCAAAGCAGTAGATTTCCCTCTTTAGCAGTCAGATGGGCACCTGCTACTGCTGACAGGGGAATGAAATGCAAGCCCTTGATTTACAAGGAAGACTAATGCTTGCTTTTAAATATGAACATTAACTTTTAATGACAAAGTTTACCTTAACTATTAGTCACCTAGAAAGATTAGCCCCACAATCTGTGTGATCAAGGTCCAAGACACTGTGAGGCTGCAACGAAGGCTCTGTTCTGAGAGGCCCTGTTCCCGTGGGAGTGCACCAGTAAACTTCTCCCTGCTCATCCTTCTGCCAGGCCTTCTCTCCACTGGTTCCAAGGTTGGTCTTGAGGTAGCTATGTGCATATTGGGCTATAATTATCACAATCACAATTCTATGCATCTTGGCTGAACACAGGATAACATCCCATCTAAAAAGATGTTCTCAGAGTATGAAGGTAATTCTGTTTGTTGCATTATACCAGTTCCTGTGGGAGACAGCCATTCCCGCGTGTCCTGTGATGCCACTCTGCCTACTTCTTTTTCATGTGTACAAGGTGTGTGTGCAGCAGCTGAATCAACTATTTCTGCATTCTTCATGTTCTGTCGAAGGACAGGATAAAACTTCTCCATGTGGTCCAGGAAGAACACTATTACTGTATGACCCGTTATATAGTCTTCTTCTTCATCCTTAGGACCAGGATGGTAACACACTGTATGTTCTGGCTTGAAAAATGTCTTCTTCTGTGTCACTCAAATCAATCAGTTTAGGGGAAATTTTTTCACATAATTTGTAATGTCTTCCTTTTTATCCCTCTCTGGGTCAATAATGATAAAAAGTGGAGTTAAATTAGGTAGAGACAGAACGTTATCTATTTCATGCATGATTTGTGTTGTGCATACTCTATGCCAAAACCATAGATAAACATGTTTGTGTCTTTCCACAATGTCATAATTTATTGAGAAACAATGAATTCACAAGGTTTAGCACTTTTAGTGAGAGCAATTTGTCACATAATCTGATGACGTTGGTAGCATGGCCAACCTCAATTACTAATATTAACTGTCATATCACATATCACGTGGCACACAGTAAATACATCTATATATCTACATACATATATGTGAGTTACAGAGAGAATACACTACAAAAGAGTTCAATAGGTTTCAGAAGTAAACTGAGAGAGAATTTGTGTTGCTAAGATGACACACCAGATCAGTGCTGAGAGGGAGCTGCTGCTGGAGCTCCTGGGGTCAGGCTTGAGAGGTGCAGAGTTCAGCTGTAAGGTGGAAAGCTGAACTGGGTTTGAGAGCAGGAATTGATAGGTCCAGGTTTAGAAAAGCAAACAGGAAGACTGGCAGGCAGTCAGGTAGGGTTGGTCAACAGCAGAGGGTCTAGACAAGCTAAAGCTCCAGGGACAGTCAAGGAGCCCTATGTCCATGACACATATATCAGGTATCAGATGATAGGTTGGTGTGGGGCCATGCCATCACTGTGTTAGTTGTCTATCACTTTACTTGGTCAGTGTGAAGGAGTTACACCATTTTATTAGTCTGGCATGTCTGATAAATTTTTGGACCTAGTTTCTCTGATATGATTTTAATATGTTTATGTACCCCTAGAGTCTCAATTCACCCAATAAAATTATAGAGTGGCTCCCTTTCTAATCCCAAATAAGTTATTTATCAGTCTGTGCTGGGTGGGTAGTGTGTGAAAGATGATGCAGTTTCTGGGTCCAGTTTCTGGGGTACAGTTATCCTGTCTCAAAATGGAGTATACTAGACAAGGCATGGCCTGTTTTATACAATATAGAGTAACTTAGAGTAGGATACAGCTTGATCTCAACAACTTGAATCATTTTTTCTAGTTCTTTTGGACAGAAATCAGGGCAATAAGTGAGGCCAAAATAAATCTGTACCTACTGACCCAGGTGGTCTTTGTTGGTGTGGGACTCTACAAAATGGAGTGAAAGAAAATGGTCCCACAAGGAAATGCATGCCTGTGCATCACTGTGGCTTCTCCTCCATCTTCTCTGT